GGGTTTGAACCGCCAGCCTTCTGGGTAGCAGTCAAATGCTTTAGGCACTTCGCCACCAGAGCTCTTCCAGCAGTAAAGGATAAATCAATATAATGTGATGAACCCCGAGAACCTGGACCCCAAACTTCCGTCACTAATAGCATCAGGTTACGGGTTATTTCATTCAACTTTCAGTAATGAGTGCTTGCATTTTATAAGCGTTTTTGGGCCTCCACTCAACAGCATGTTGGAGGGCATTTACGGAATACGTTGCAGGATTGTAGTGAGATTTAAGCGGTAAAACTCGACAGTGCTGAACACAGTGCAAAACTGACCTGTTACTCTGGTTGTTGTCATCCTTACCGTCTCAGCTAGCCCTTTCTGCCAGATCCCCGCCCCCTAGGCCGCCCGGGACGTCCGCGGGCCAAGCGGCCCAGAGCTCACCTGGTCGGCGCCGGGGAGCCGCTGCTGGACGACTTGGAAGAAGACGCAGAGAGGCAGCGCGGCGAGCGCCGAGTAGCCCCAGATGAGCGCGAGCAGCGCCGCCTGCGCCCGCCACCCCGGGCTCTGCACGCCGCGCTGCAGACGCACGATGCACACCATGCGTTCCAGGCTGACAGCGGCCAGTGTGAGGATGGTGACGCTGCCGCTCAGGCTCATCACGTAGAAGAGCAGGTGGCAGGCGACGGGGCCCAGCAGCCAGGCCTCGGTCCAGCGCACGGCCAGCACTGGCGGGATGGCGCTGGTGAAGAGCAGGTCCGCACAGAAGAGGTTGAGCACAAGGCAAGCGGCAGTGCTGCGGCGCCGTCGGCGCACCACCAGCAGCAGGGCGCACACGTTGCCCAGCAGCGACACCGCAAAGATGAGCGTCAGCACGACAGTCTCCACAGCGCTCAGCACCAGCCGGTGGTCTCCCTTGACGTCGGAGAAAAAGGGGAAGCGGGTGCGGTTGGTTTGCTCCAGACTGCGTAGGGGCCTTGCGCCCTCCTCCTGCGCGTACTCAAGGGACATGCCGGGCGCCCGGCCGCCCGCAGCTGTCTGCGAGCGCGCTCATCTGGGAGCGACTGAGCGCCAAGGCGGGGAAAGAGGGAGGGAGGTTGTGACATCTCCCCTCTGGCCACCTCCCGGCCTGAGGAGCCCCGGGGCGCGCGGGAACGAGGAAGTGACCGGCGACGCCGGCTAGAAACACCCTGGTTGGGCGGGGACGCGGAGGCGGAGGCGGAGGCCTCAGGCTCGGAGCTCGGCCTTGGAAGAGCCAGAGGGGCCTGTAAACCCCACCGATAAAATCGCCGGTATCTCTGCGGGGCCTCGTCAGCCTTCTCCATGGTCTTGGGGCACCGGATGTCCGATGTCGAAGCCTTGAACGCGCCAATTTAGCCAAAAATGATTTAGGAATGTCAGAGCTGGACTTTGAGGATAATTCAAGTCTGTGCTCTTTAGACTTCACCAAACAATATCCATGGGTCTGGGGGTAGATCCCAAAGCAACTTGCAATGAACCCAGATTTTTAAAAAATGTTTGTTTTATCATTTATAACAACATGATGTTAGGTGTTATTTATTCTCCCTGTGCACTAATTTTTTTCATCTATAAAATAGAAATAATAATACTTCATTGGTTTATTGTGAAGATTACATAAAATTTTAGTACCAGACTTGGCACACACTGATCACTCATTCAATGTTAGTAATTATTAGTTACACCAATTAAAATGCATGCATTCTGAGCAATGATATACAATCCTTTCATATAAAGGTGGAGTTTGCCAAAAATTTTGAATAAAGGTAACATCCCCAAAAGACAGCTATTCCAAGGATTCCAAGTGCATACAGTCTTTGAAGGTGGCTCAGGCACCACAGTGTGAGCGGGCACTGAAGCTGAGGTCTAGCAAGAAGTCATTTGTCTAAGGAGGTCCCTGGTTAGTAATAGAAACCAGATCACCCGGCACTGCCCCCACGTACTTCTACCACACTATTACTTCTAATTTTCTGTAATACTAAATTAGGAAGTTAGACATTGGGGCAGTGTGTTTGTGGCTAAGCAGAGGCCTCTCCCAGTTGCCCTTTCTGTCTTGTAACTGTTTCTGTGTATTTATTAAGGGCTGAGTGTGCAGGTATGGGGTGCTCTGGTAGCATAGTGCCTAAGGCATTTGAGTGCTAACCAGAAGGCTGGTAGTTCAAACTCACCAGCCACTCCTGGGAAGGAAGACTGGGCAATCTACTTCCATAGTGATATCGCCTCGGAAACCCAAGGAGGGGTGGCTATGAGTCGGATCTGACTTGATGGCAGTGAGTTTTGGTTTTGTGCAGGTCTGAGGTGGTGTCTGGGCAAGGGTGTGCATTTGTGTGTCTGCTTATTGCAATGTCATGTGAGTGTGAGTTGAAATGTGGCTTCTGACCTGAGGGGCAGATTGTGTGCCAGTGAGAGACATGCAGGGAGGTTGGCCAGGCTCAACTTGCTTTCCTGACAGAGATGAAAAGGGGCAAGAGATTGAAATAAAGAAAACTCAGAATTCTAGCAATTGTCTGATTGGGATAAGGGCGTATTAGTTTTTATGTGAGAGAAAGGAAAGCTCTGAGTGTGTGAGTGTGTCTGTGAGATAGAGAGAGCTCCCACTCTCAAGGCTGGTGTGACATGGGTACAGGAAGAGATTGGCCAAAGGGAACCGAAGTGGAGATCTCTAGGCTAGAGAGCCTTCATTATCATTATCCTCCAGGGTTCTCCCAATGGCAAAAAGGTGAGTGCAACAGTTCTCAAACTTTTGCAGTTCACATCCCTTTAGGATGCCCTTTCATGGCCCCAAATTCCTGACAGACTGTTAGGTATGTCTGTGCAGGGGGCGGTGTGTGCCCAAGACCAGGTATAGCGTTGGTAGACAATGTTTCTACAAGTGGATTGACATGTTCTCTAAGAATTCCCAGGTATATGAGGTAGATACACTCCTTGGGAGAACAATCATGGAAGAAAGAAGGGCTGCTTATGCACATCGAGACAGCTCAGGGGGCAGGAGTACATGGAGGGATGGACAAAGAAAGG